AAACAACTCAAATGTCTATCAAATGATGAATGGATAAATAAAATGTGGTATTATCCACAAAATGTAGTATTATTTGGTCATGAAAAGGAATGATGTACTGATACATACTATACCATAGATGACCTTTGAAAACACGCTAAGTAAAAGGAGCCTGTCTCAAAAATCCATTTATATGAATCCATTTACAGAACACCCAGAATAGGCAAATCTACACAGACAGAAAGTAGATTCGTGGTTGCTTAGGGCTGGGAGAGAGGGTGAGAGAAATAGGGAGTGACTGCTAATGGGTATCGGGTTTATTTTCAGGGCGATAAAAACGTTCTAAAATTAGATTGTGGTGATGGCTGCACAACTCTGTGACTCTTCTAAAAACCAATGAATGTACACTTTAAATGAGTAAACTGGGTGAATTACATGGTATGTGGATTATATCTCAATAAAGCTGTTAAACAAAAAATAAAAGGACAAGTATGAGGAGATAAAGTGTTAGGTATAAACAACGAAAAGCTACCCGAGTTACAAGTTGCAACTGCATTAAGCAGCTGAGGATACTTTTTATTTTATTTTTTCTTGAGACAGGGTCTTACTCTGCCACCCAGAATGGAGTACAGTGACACCATCACGGCTCCCTACAGCTGTGACTTCCTGGGCTCAAGCAATCCTCCCACCTCAGCCTCCAGGGTAGCCAGGACTACAGGTGTGCACCACAATGCCTGGCTAATTTTTTGTATTTTTTGTAGAGATGAGGTTTCACCATGGTGCCCAGGCTGGTCCTGAACTCCTAAGCTCAAGCAATCTGCCCACCTGGGCCTCCCAAAGTGCTGGGATTACAGGCACAGACCACTGCACCAGGCTGGAGCTTCTTTAAAACTAAGTTTTCTTCTGTCCTACCAGTAGAAATAACCAGAGGAAAGGATTTTTAGGGTGGAGAACTTCTGGAGGAGAACCCTAAATAGCAGCCCAAAGTCCCCACTCCGAACACTACTGGCCCAAAGATTCAGCTGGCTTTTCTGAAGCTCAGACAAAAAAAGTCAGGAGGCCTACTCAAGTAAGCCTTCTTACGTGAGTTGGAAGCTCAGGTTTGTTAGCTGCGAAAAGTACTGCTCTGAGCAAACTGCATATCATTTCCTACTGGGCAACTGTTCTTCACAGAGTCTAATATAAGGCAATATATTGACATAGCATTAAGATAACCTTCCCTACATTTTCCCACCATATACTTCACTGCTAGGAGCTAAATTTCAAATTTCTATTGGATTTTATAGACTTTTCATTGTTTCCATTTAAAATAATGGCAGACATTCGCCTGTAATAGCCTTCTTTGCAAAATACTATCTGGATATTTCAAATGCAGGCCAGTTAAAAAATTCTAACTAGTTCAAGAAACATGCATAAGGAAATACAACTAGACATGGTAAGCCCTTGACCTGCTCTCAATTCTGCCATCAACTTGCAGTTACTGTGGGCTTGGCCAAGACAGCTTCACTTTATGTGACAGCCTGGCTCTTGTAAGCCAAGTTTATACTCGCACTGCCTCATCTGTTCCGGTCTGGATCACAAATCAAGTCCATTCAGCTTGTGTTAAATCTGCTTTTCTTTTTAGTATGAGGAAAGCTAAGTGAACGATATCAAGTAGAAACCTGGGTGGCAGCTGAGTGTAGAAGTTTGACCAAAGAAAAATGCCAACCAGTGCCAGGAGCTTTAAAAGCCATTGACCCCATTAACTATTACATGCCATAGAGTAATTTGCCCAACATCCTAGTCAAACTGGATTTAAACCAATAATTTGTCTTCTTTTTACTGTAAGGGATAAATATCCACCCTAAAAAGAAATAAAAAGCTTAGTGGGCATACTTCTTCCGCACATTCAAGTGTTTTGGGGAAGCGTCCTCCGCTACCCGACCTCCAGTACTGGACACTGGGGAGGAAGGTTTTAGAAAGTGCAATCCAAGCTAATTTCCAAAAGAGGTTATTTCCTCCCTTACTCTAAAAAATTTTCCATGGCTGGAGAGTTCTGGTAGGAGGAAAATATTGTCCAAACAAAATGGATTACAATTCTGAGCTGCCACAATTGCAACTAGGTGAAGGCCCAGACAAGTAGTAGGGCAGCCACTAAAATAGCAGAGATTATCTCACTAAAGCTATGCTCAATTACTGGCTCAATGGGATCCAATATTTTTGGCTTTCACCTCTGACCTAAACACTTAAGGTTATTGTAGTCTTTGTTCCTTTCTTGGTAATTACAATTTTTTTTTTTCCACTCCTGGAGGTCACAAGTAGTCAAAGTGTCACATTTATGACAACAAGCAATCTGCCTCTTTGTATACTATTGATCAGGATTAGTGTCCTCAAGCTTTTATTTTTTTTCCCCAAAATGATAAATAAGGTCTGCCGGTAGAAGAGAAGCATCAGGTTATCTTCTTAAACTGTGGATATTCTACACCTGGAGATCTCTCTCCCTAGGACACATTTTCTACGGTTCTTTTTAAACGTCATCACCACAGGTGTTCCTGATTTTAGAGAAAGCCAATATAAAATAATACAATGCATATACTACTGTTAGTTGATATTTAAAAACCAGAGCTTATACTCATTCTTTGTTTATTTGATGACTGTTTGTTTATAGAAGTCCTCTGGGTTAAATTTCCAGTCTTTTTAGTGTATACATTCAAGTAGTAGACACTGGCACTTTAATATGTGACGCAATAACTCATAATCACAGCAAAAAGTTTATCTTAGTATATTCTGTATCATTCTCCTCCTCATACCATCACTAGAGAGCAGAAAGAAATCAGAAATTGAATCTTTGATTAGTTGAAGTAACTCTGAATAAGATTCAAGGGAACAGCTAAACTTTTTTTTTTTTTTTTTGAGACGGGGTCTCATTCTGTCACCCAGGCTGGAGGACAGTGGCACGATCTCAGCTCACTGCAACCTCCGTCTCCCAGGTTCCAGCAATTCTCCTGCCTCAGCCTCCTGAGTAGCTAGGACTATAGGCGCGTGCCACCATGCCCGCTAATCTTTGTATTTCTCTTTTCCTTTTTTTTTTTTTTTTGAGATGGAGTCTTACTCTGTCACCCAGGCTGGAGTGCAGTGGTGCGATTTCGGCTCACTGCAAGCTCCACCTCCCGGGTTCACACCATTCTTCTGCCTCAGTCTCCTGAGTAGCTGGGACTACAGACACCCACCATCACACCCGGCTAATCTTTTTTGTATTTTTAGTAGAGACAGGGTTTCACCAGGATGGTCTTGATCTCCTTGTGATCTGCCCGTCTCGGCCTCCCAAAGTGCTGGGATTACAGGCGTGAGCCACTGTGCCAGGCCTAATTTTTGTATTTTTTGTAGAGAGGGGGTTTAGTCATGTTAGCCAGGCTGGTTTCAAACTCCTGACCTCAGGTGATCCACCCGCCTTGGCCTCTCAAGGTGCTGGGATCATAGGCACGAGCCGTGCCTGGCTCTTTTTTTTTGAGACAGGGTCCGACTCTGTCACCAAGGCTGGAGTGCAGTGGTGCAAAGATGGCTCACTGCAGTCTCAACCTCCCAGGCTCAAGTGACCCTCCCACCTCAGCCTCCCAGGTAGCTGGGACCACAGGTGTACACCACCACAATTCACTAATTTTCTTTTTTTGAAGTCAAGTCTTGCTCTGTTGCCCAGGCTGCCATGATCTCGGCTCACTGTAACCTTCGCTTCCGAGGTTCAAGTGATTCTTCTGCCTCAGCCTCCAGAACAGCTGAGATTACAGGAATGTGCCACCAGGCCAAGCTAATTTTTGTATTTTAGTAGAGACAGGGTCTCACCATGTTGGCCAGGCTGGTCTCGAACTTCTGACCTCAGGTGATCCACCTGCCTCAGCCTGCCCAAATGCTGGGATTATAGGTGTGAGCCACTGTGCCTGGCCACACTTGGCTAATTTTTTTTTAATTTTAATTTTTGTAGAGATGGGATTTCACCATCTTGCCCAGGCCAGTCTCAAAGTCCTCGACTCAGGCAATCCTCTTGCTTCAGCCTCCCAAAATGCTGGGATTACAGCTGTGAGCCAATGTGCCTAGCCCACCTGAACATTTTTAACCTGAACACTCAAAACCTTAACTGAGGGCCAGACGCGAGGGCTCACGCCTATAATCCCAGCACTTTGGATAACCGAGGCGGGCAGATCACCTGAGGCCAGGAGTTCGACACCAGCCTAGCCAACATGGTGAAAACCCATCTCTACTAAAAATGCAAAAATTAGCTGAGTGTGGTGGTGCATGCCTGTAGTTCCAGCTACTTGGGAGGCTGAGGCAGGAGAATTGCTTGAACCCGGGAGGCGGAGGTTGCAGTGAGCTGAGATTATGCCATTCCACTCCAGCCTCGGCGACAGAGTGAGGGTCTCAAGAAAAAAAAAAAAAAAAAAAAAAAAAACCTTGGCCGAGCACGGTGGCTCAAGTCTGTAATCCCAGCACTTTGGGCGGCTGAGGCAGGCGGATCACCTGAGGTCAGGAGTTCAAGGCCAGCCTGGCCAACACGGTGAAACCGTGTTTCTACTAAAAATACAAAAATGAGGTGGGTGTGGTGGTGGGCGCTTGTAGTCCCAGCTGCTCAGGAGGCTGAGGGAGAAGAATCGCTTGAACCCAGGAGGTGGAGGTTGCAGTGATCTGGGATCATGCTACGGCACTCTACCCTGGGTGACAAAGCAAGACTCCGTCTCAAAAAAACAAAACGAAACAAAAAAATCTCAATCTTAACTGAGAAGTTTCATATAGCTTCATTAGAGTATTTTGGTATCTTCTTATAATTATTCTAACAAAAATGTATTGAACATCTACTAAGTGTAAAAGACTTTGCTAAGTGCTAAAAAAATGGTGTCTGAGGGTAAAAGAAAAGTGATTACAGCACAGTACAACACTTTCTTTCACCATTTAAAGAACTTCTGAAGACATGGGGATGAGGTAATCAGCCTTTTAGAATGTAACACAAGATATAGTTACCAAGAAAGAAATAGTATATATGCCAGCGTTACCTGCATGTTTGTTCCGTCTGTGGCTGATTCTTGGTGTGGATGAGCCATTTCCCCGTGGTAGAAAAAGGGCAGCACCTTTGACAGTTAGAAAGCTCTCGCTGATGCTACAAGGAAAAAGTCAAAAGAAAATAAATTATTTAGGAAAGGAAATCAAAGGATAGGATGGATAACCACTTTAGGATTCTCTCTTCCCTATTCCAAAGTTCCAACTTCATGGAACGAAGTAAAAACATAATCAAGAGAGGCTGTGGTTACTCACGCATACACTCCTGCCTACTCTAGACAAGTTTTCTTTCTTTTTCTTTTGTGAAAGGGAGTCTTGCTCTGTTGCCCAGGCTGGAGTGCAGTGGCACAATCTTGGCTCACTGCAACCTCTGCCTCTTGGGTTCAAGCGATTCTCCTGCCTCAGCCTCCTGAGTAGGCTGGGATTACCGGCGCCCGCCACCATGCCTGGCTAATTTTTGTATATTAGTAGACAGGGTTTCACTACATAGGTCAAGCTGGTCTCAAACTCCTGACCTCAAATGATCCGCCCACCTCGGCCTCCAAAGTGTTGAGAATACAGGCGTGAGCCACCGTGCCCGGCCTCTAGATAAGTTTTCTGAAACAAAACTTACAATATTCTTCTTTTTTTTCTTTTTGAGATGGGAGTCTCACTCTGTTGCCAGGCTGGAGTGCAGTGGTGCGATCTTGGCTCACTGCAACAACCTCCACCTCCTAGGTTCCAGTAATTCTCCTGCCTCAGCCTCCTGAGTAGCTGGGATTACAGGAGTGAGCCACCATGACCAGCTAATTTTTGTATTTTTAATAGAGACGGGGTTTTACCATGTTGGTCAGGCTGGTTTTGAACTCCTGACCTCATGTGATCCACCCACCTTGGCCTCCCAAAGTGCTAGGACTACAGGTGTGAGCCACTGCACCCAGCCAAAACTTACGATATTCTATATACATTACATGGCGGCAGTTAAGAGTGGAGGCTCTGAAACCAGAAGTCTGAGTTTGAATCCTAGCTTTACTTCTTCCTACCAGAGTAGGCCTAAATTTCCTTATCTGTAAAACAGGGATAATAAAATGAAGTTGTTGTGAAGAGCCAATGAGAACACAGCGTCTTAAAGTGGTGCCTAGTATACAGTAAAAAGCCCTTAATAAATATTAGTTATAAGTAGATTAGTAGAAGGTTATCAGTAATGATGTTTCAATACTGTCCTAATCAGATGTGAAGTGTGTTACAATATTTAGCTACTAATAATAGGTCCAAAGTTTGCAAAAAAGATTTATGTTTAAAATATACACCACAGTAAAGTATTACCTCAAAATTTTACTACTGCCAACTTGCATCCCCATACTCAGTGAAAAGAAGTAGTGGGCAGGAAGTGTGTTTAACCCACTGGAGTTTGTCATTCACAAGATGATAATAAAGGTGCAGAATTACTGCTGAGGATAGCGGCTATTCAAAATAAAATTACTGGTCTAGTCACAGTGGTTCATGCCTGTAATCCCAGTGCTATGGGAGGCCAAGCCAAGAGGACTGGTTGAGGCTTGGAGTTCGAGACTAGACTAGGCAACACAGTGAGACTCCATCTCCAAAAAAATATTTTAAAAATTAGCTGGGGGTGGTATCACATGCCTGTAGTCCTAGCTATTCAGGAGGGTGAGGTGGGAGGATCGCTTGAGCCTAGGAGTTCGAGATTATAGTGAGTTATGATGGCGCCATTGTATTCCAGCTGGGGTGACAGAGCAAGACTCTGTCTCTTAAAAAAAAAAAAAAAAAAGGCAAAAAAAAAAAACTAGTGAATACCCATATATAACCAGAAAATAAACCTAAGTTATTTCATATTAATAAACTAAATAAGCCTTTCAAGTTATCCATCAAGTTTCTCACAGAATCTGAAAGGATAGAACTTAACTCACGAAGGCCAAGTTTAGAAATACTTAATAGAGGATTCTAAATTGCTTTTGAGTATAGCACTGCTATTGAAGGTTAGCTAGCGGATTGTAAATGACATTGTCTACTCAATATTTCCACTTGGAAATCTTAATTGGCATGTTAAATTCACGTTGCCAAAACTAAATTCTTGAGTTCCCCTACCCTCAAGTCAATCTCTGGCCTCGTTCTCCAGCTTCATTCTCCCAGTTGTTTAGGCAAAACACCTAATAGTCATCCTTAGTGTCTTTCCTTCCTATAATATATATCTAATCCATTAGCAAGTCCTGTGAGCTTTACTTTTTTTTTTTTTTTGAGACAGAGTCTCACTCAGTCACCCAGGCTAGAGTGCAGTGGCGCGATCTTGGCTCACTGCAAGTACCGCCTCCTGGGTTCATGCCATTCTCCTGCCTCAGCCTCCCGAGTATCTGGGACTATAGGCGCCCGCCACCACACCCGGCTAATTTTTTTGTATTTTTAGTAGAGACGGGGTTTCACCATGTTAGCCAGGATGGTCTCAATCTCCTGACCTCGTGATCCACCTGTCTCGGCCTCTCAAAGTGCTGGGATTACAGGCGTGAGCCACCGCACCCGGCCAGCTTTACTTTCAAATATATCTTGAACCTGCCCACTTATTCCTATCACCACTATCACACTAGTCCATGGCACCATCATTCCTTACTTGGACCACTATTTAAAAAGTTTTTCTTAAAAAAGCCTTTTACTACAGAAAATGTCAAACATACACAAAAGTAGAGGGAATACTATAATAAGGCCCCGTGTTCCCCTCACATTCAAGCTTTAATTTGTAGCAAGTTTTGTTTCTTCTACATCCTCACCCATTTACCTTGCCCCTGAAGTGAAACAAACCCCAGGCACTGTATGGAAACAAAAAACAAAAAACAAAAAACAAAAAAACTTCTTAACAGGTCTATCTGCAACCACTTCTGCCCTCCATCATCTACTCACCAAACAGCAACCAGAGTGACTTAAAAATCATATAGATCATACAGTGTCACTTCCCTGCTTAAAACCCTCCAAAGGCTTCCTTTTGTACTTATAAATAAAAAAGCCAGTCTTTAGCTTGGTTTTCAAGGCCCTGTAACATACTACAGGACTACTCCTCTGATCTTACATCATCTCCCCTTTTGTTTACCATGATCTGTGATTCTTCTTTCTGTTTCTTTGATGTTTCAGGGCCTTTGTGCTCTCTGTTCTCTACTTGGAATACTTTTCTTCTGGCCTGTTACTATGTAAGTCTCAGCTCCAATATCACTGCTCCTTCCCCCAATTCCAATCATACTTTATCCTGTTGTTCTGTTTTGTTTCCTTCAGAATATTTATCATAAACTAAAATTATATTTATTCACGTGCATACTTGTGGTTACCTTCCTATAGTAGAATATAAGCTCCATGAGAGCAAGGACTTAATTTTGCACATCACTGTAGCTGCAGCACTGGAAACAGTGTAAGGCACATATTAGCTGCTTGAACAATAGGTGATGGATGAATGAATTTATCCCAGGTTTTTTCCACACTGTATATCTGTCCTGTCACTGTAGCAGAAACTGTAATTTAGGACAAGTCTCACATGTAAAAATAATCATTATAGAACTCAATATATGTGGCAGATTAATGGACTTTAAAATGTTTGATGATGGATTAGCAAATGAAATTAAATCACCTCTATAATGTTATCAGACATTGATTCAATTTTATCCTTTAATAAAGTCCATGAAGCTAATAAAACCTTTGAGGTAACCTGCCAAATAGACTGAAACATGTCTTCTAATAACAAAAGAATAAACAAATGTCACTTTAAAAATTTGCATGCTGGCTGGGTGTGGGGGTGTCTTGATTTTGTTTTGTTTTCATCTTTAAATAAAGCATTGCTCTCTTGTGGTCTGTTGCACAAGCCTTGTCTGTTGTTACATCCGTGATGTTCACATGCCACCCTACTGTGGGTCACTCTGTTCCACTCACATTACGGGAACAACCTAAAACAAAATGTCTGAGTGACAGGATGAGTGGGCTACACCACAAACAGGAAATGAAATTCACACTTTTGCCAACACAGCAACTGCTGCTTTACGAAATGAAAATATTTTAAAAATAAAGGTTAAATATTCTACCTATTCACCAGGCAAAGTAACAGCTTTGGACACTGTAGGTTCCAGTAAACAAAGGAGTTCGCTACATCTACAAAAGAAGTGTGCATATTTGTTGAACAGTTTAAAACAACTGAACATACTTCAGTCATTCCTTTTGTAAGATAGGTAGTTTCTCTTTGACAAACACTGTTTTAGGAACTTCCTGGTTTCTGGAGTTCAGTAATACTGTTTTTTTTATAGATATATTTGTTGCTTATGCTTTAAAGCATATCTAAGTACATTCTTGCTTTAAAGCATATCTAAATGTGTTATTTAAAATGTATGTAGGGCTTTCTCAAAGTAAGGGTTAAGGAGCTAAACAAAGGCCATTGGTTAGTGCAAAGCCACCTGGACTCTGAAAACTCCTGATTATAAAAGAAAGGTCAGGAACCAAACTCACATATAGTATAAATATCACAAATTCACACATAAGAGGCTTTCCTATTTGAAACACAAATGTCAATAATTTTTTCTGATGGAACAAAATGCACAAGGTAGGCCAATAGACTACTATTTGTTTTTATTTTATTTTATTTTATTTATTTTATTTTATTTTATTTTATTTTTTAGATGGAGTCTTGCTCTGTCGCCCAGGCAGGAGTGCAATGGCGAGATCTTCGCTCACTGCAACCTCTGCCTCCCGGGCTCAAACGATTATCATGCCTCAGCCTCTCAAGCAGCTGGGACTACGGGCATACGTCACCATACCTGGCTAATTTTTGTATTTTTAGTAGAGACAGGGTTTCACCATGTTGCCCAGGCTTGTCTGGAACTCCTGACCTTAAATGATCCACCCAAAATTGGCCTTAAATTGGCCTCCCAAAATGCTGGGATTACAGGTGTGATCCACAGTGCCCGGCCCGGGACTACTATTTAATACTATTATAATAGGTGCGATATAGGCTCCCAGAGACTTGTGGCAGACAATCTGGATGGTATAATCAATCCTCTTTATTCTGTGGCCCCAGGTTATGACCCCTCAGTTATCAAAAAAGTGACATTCTGTTGGTCACAAGGGGACCAGAAATAA